GGATGCCCACCTCTTTAGATGGGATGGGGTTGGTCCTGACCGGTCACTAGAAATCAGGTGTTTGTCCATTAAGGACCAATGCAATTTGGCTTCTGCATGTTGGATAAAAAGGGCAGAATGAGAGTCCCTATAGGAGTCACAGCTGTGAATGGTACTTTCAAGTATTCTACTTTGAAGACTCAGAGCCTGTTGGAATTTAGAGTTGGGAAGGCACTTGGCCAACAAGCCAGTGTATATGATGTAGGAAAGGCAAGCATATATTCCAGTATGTCTGAGTATATTGCTATAGGTCGAGTGGGTAGAATGACATGCTTTGTATTGGCTTTCAGATGCCATCTCTACTCTTGACTTTGCTCATATTCTGTGATCAATTTCTGTGTCTGCTTTTGCAGCAACCTTTGCAAACCTGAAGAAACAGAGAAGATGGCTTTCAAACAGTTGCAGCCCAAGTCCGATGTTAAAAGTGACCTTTGATGTCCCAAAGCATTTTAAGCTCAGTGAGAGAACATCACTCCCTGTGGTACGGGATGGACCAAACACATGATTCTTGGTGTAGGGGGTAATTTTCTTCTCAGACGTCTAAGGAAAAATAATCAAGCATGACCTTGTTTTAGGCGTGAGGTAAACCTCATATCAACCTCCAGAGGAGCCTGTCAGAGGGGTCATTGGTGTTTGTAAAGAAATCATGTTACCCGTCTCCCAAATAAAATGAGCCACAAGACCCCGAACCCGCATTTAACCGTCAACTGCCAAGATGATGCTGCAAGTGAAATATGACGGGTGAAATGGACCTTTAGAAAGAAGATGTGTTTGTTTCATTCTCTCCTTAATCATGTTAATCTTTAGTTTTGCCTGGGGGACTTAAACGACACTGTGTGCTGAAGGAAAGTTAAAACAAGGCCCTGGTACTCCACCTAGAGATCTTGCTTTCTTTGGAGTGTTTGACATGGGAAAGTGATGAGCTTCCTTCCATAAGCGCCCGAGTTTATCTCCGTTTTGGTGCATCGCCAAGAACTTTAACAGATTGTTTCGGGGTAAAGTGTACTTATCTAGATTTTCAAAATCCTTTATTCTGTGAGAACAAAATAAACATGTTTTCCTTACCTTTCAAATGTACACCAAATGCCAAAAAATATATATATATATAAATAGCCAAATATTTAACATGAACACTCTTTCCTAGATGCCATCTCTTTAATAAAAGGTCAGTAGAGCTGGAAGGCCTGATTCTGTGAAATCAGATCAATTCAAAAACAGTAGGAATCCTTGCTCCCTTTCATTGCTTTTAGAACAATAAAAATCAATTCTTACTCTCAGCCTGAGTTTTTTTTTTTTTTCTGAGTTTTATTTTTATAAAAATGTCCCCACGGCAGGTCCAATTAAATAGGAATTTTCCAGCACTTTATTTCAGAAGACTCAAGAAAATGCGAGGTGCTATATTGCATCCAACATTTTTTCTAAAACATGTAAAAATAAAAGCACAAAAGCAGATTATTTTAGAATGCGTTAATGGTTATACATAAACACATGGATAAGAAGGCTTATAGTGTATTTTTTATTATATTTTTTCATGTCACTAACAGGAACACGGCAGTTGAAATTTATTTATCTTGCTTGCCGCACATGTAACCATATCTGTAGGTCATATATGTATCTATGCATCTATATGCGTGTATGTATAGTATGCAGGAAGTGCTATAGTATACAGTACGGGAAAAGGGAAAGTGTTAGTCACTCAGTCATGTCCAACTCTGCAATCTCATGGATTGCAGCCCGCCAGGTTCCTCTGTCCATGGGATTCTCCTGGCACGAATGCTGGAGTGGGTTGCCATTCCCTTCTGCAGGGGATCTTCCCGACCCACGAATCGAACCCAAGTCTCCTCTGTCTCCTGCATGGCAGGTGGATTCTTTACAGTCTGAGCGAGCTGGGAAGCCCAGGATACAGTATAATTTTATACAATATATGCTGTATATACTATACACAGTGTATAATACACATATACTGTGTGATACAGCATATATTGTATACAGTATATGGCGAACCATATAAGCTATGATATACAAAGTATCCTTTTGTACAGTGTCTACTATATACACTATGTTGTTGTTTGGTTGCTAAGTCACATTTGGCTCTTTGCAACCCCATGGATTACAACATGCCAGGCTTCCCTGTCCTTCACTATCCCGCAGAGTCTGCTCAGGTTCATGTCCACTGAGTCAGTGATGCTATACAACCATCTCTGATGATAAACATACAAAATACCACATATACTGTGGCATACAGCGTATGTGAGAGTGAAGTGGAAGTTAGTCGCTCAGTCGTGTCCGACTCTTTGCGACCCCGTGGACTGCAGCCCGCCAGGTTCCTCTGTCCATGAGATTTCCCAGCTAAGAGTACTGGAGTGACTTGCCATTCCCTTCTCCAGGGGATCTTCCCCATCCAGGGATTGAACCTGGGTCTCCCCCATTGCAGGCAGATGCTTTAACATCTGAGCCACCAGGAAAGCCCATGTATACTGTATAATATACTATAAATACTGTGGTTTACAGTGTATTTTCATATAGCAATAGTATGTACTATACAGAGTGAATAGTATACTGTATATACTATGGTACAAAATACACTTTATATTTTATATAAGTGTATAAAATTTTGTATAAGTATATAAAGTATACTATACTATATACAAAGTATACCATATAACACATATATACTGTTGTATACAGTGTACTTTGACACAGCATAAACTATATGAAGTATATAATTTAGCATATATGCTATGATGTATGCAATATGCTTTAATACAGTTTGCAGTGTATCATATAAGCAGTGTTGTTATGCAGCATATACTATGTATAGTATATAGTTTACCTTATATGCTAGTAAACAGTATACTTTTATGCAGTAAATGCTATATAAAGTATATAGTATAAGATCTGTGGGCTTCCCAGGTGGTGCAGTGTTAAAGAACTCACCTGCCAATGCAGGATAGAGAAGAGATGTGGGTTTGATCTCTGGGTCGGGAAGATCCTCTGGAGGAGGAAATGGCAACCCATTCCAGGATTCTTGTCTGAAAAAATTCCATGGAAAGGGGAGCCTGGTGAACTACAGTCCGTGGTGCTGCAAAGGGTTGGACACGGCTGGGCGAGTGAGCACAGAAGACTTACACTGTGGATATATCTGTATGTTATTTACATAGTCTCCTCTCCCTGCCAGTTTGCAGGTATTCTGATTTATCAATGAGGTCTTTCTTTACACCAGGAATATTATGGCTTCCTCACTTAATTCCAATCCCAATATTCATATCCAGTTTATAGATCAGGCAAAGAGAGGCTTAAGAATATGCTCAAGATCTCCCGACTTGTAAAGCGGGAGAGAGATCTCAATGTATGTTCGTGATGTTGACAGCCTCAGACTGAAGACTAAAGCCCTTCCTATGGCAACACCTGCATCTGTGGGTCAAGGGTGTCACCTGAAGCCTGCACGTCACCTGGGAACATCTGCAGACGTTAGGTCTTCCAGTGGAACCTTCCGGTACCCCAGCCTTCTGGCACATAAGCAAAGAGGCGGTGGTTTTGTAAGTGTGTTCCCAATAAGGCGTTGCCTGGAAGGTAGAGGTGAGGGCACCCACAGCAATAGACCTGGGCAAGCTAGGTCTGCACACCACTTCTGTGAGTTCACTGCTGTCCACGAGGCGACCTTTTATCATGCACCATCTCAGATGTTCCAAACCCGCAAACGTGACACAGTCTGTTTTACAGGTCACTTTTGCCAAGCCTAAAGAAAAAACTGGAAGAAATTAAAATATATCTTTGAGAATATATGTTCTCTGCTACCTTAAAAAAAAGTTGGGTGGCAACCATGTTTCAAGTACCATGTTTTGTGGAGAATCTTTCTATATTGATGATTGAACTTCTGCCTGTGGCTGTTCATGTACATCACAGGGGATATCAGGTTCATAGTTGCCGAGGACACTTGAAATCTATAAAAAACCCTCAATTTACTGCATCGTGTGGTATTTCTCCTAAAGTTCTTGACTTCAGCATGTGTAAAAGCACTGTCTTGTCAAACTCACGACATCAGCGGAATGTTATTGGATCCTCACGTGACCCACTCTTCAAAAGGTTTTCAAGTTATATATGTATTTCCAATAGAGCACAAACGGTGGATGCATAGTTCTATTTATTAATGTTTTGTAATGGCAGAAACCAGATTTTTTTTTCTTTTGCATTTTTAACCTATTTTAATTGTTATAACTGCAATATATATCCATCTACCTAAGAAGCAGTTCTTGAGGAAGAAAGAGAAGGTACGCATTTTGGACAACAGTCTCTAAATCAGGATTTCTCAACTTGAATACTGTTGACATCCGGGATGAAAAATTTCTTTGCTGTTGGGGGGGTGGGGGGGTGGCTGTCCTGTGCCCTGGAGAATATTGGACAGTCATCGTGGTATCTGTCTTCATTCATGGCACCATCCTTCATGTGTAACAAGCAGAAACATCTCCAGGTATTGCCAAATGCCCACCGCCCCCCCCTTGTGGGGGCTGATCACTCTCCGGTTGAGGTTAGTGATTCCAAAAGTAGTTCAGCCTGAAATGCTGAAAATATTCCAACAAGAGTAGTTTAAATTTGAAATGCTGAAGTATTTCCAAGACATGCGTTTGTTTTCCAAAAAATTTCCAAGTTTTCCTCCTTGACCTTGGAAGACAACTGGATGCATTAAAAATACAGAAATGTTATAGAAAAGGTATCATATTTTCATTGGGAATTATTTTAAAGGTTAAGGTCAGAGGGGATTTTATAGACAAGCCAGAACCGTAGGCACATGTGGATTAAACCAGAGCAGACTCATTGCCACTTTGGTACTTTGTGCGTATGGATAAACATGTGAGATGATCTGACTGTAATTTCATTTCGCATGATTACAATTGACTTGTGACATGCAGAAGAGCGTGACCTTTTTTTCTCCTCTTTTTCTGTCTCCCTTCTGTCCTCAGTGACCCCAATCAGCCCGTTCCGCAGGACACCAAGTTCATTCACACAAAACCCAACCGCTTCGAGGAAGTGGCCTGGTCCAAGTATAACCCCAAAGACCAGCTGTATCTGCACATCGGCCTGAAGCCCCGCGTGCGGGATCACTACCGAGCCACCAAAGTGGCCTTCTGGCTGGAGCTGGTGCCGCATCTGCACAACCTGAACGAGATATTCCAGTACGTGTCCACCACCACCAAGGTGCCCCCTCCCGACATGACCTCCTTCCCCTACGGGACCCGGCGGTCGCCCTCCAAGATCTGGCCCACGACCAAGCGCCCGGCCATCACCCCCGCCAACAGCAACCCCAAACACGCCAAGGACCCCCACAAGACGGGCCCCGAGGACACCACGGTCCTCATCGAGACCAAGAGGGATTACTCCACCGAGCTGAGCGTCACCATCGCCGTGGGGGCGTCGCTGCTCTTCCTCAACATCCTGGCCTTCGCCGCCCTCTACTACAAGAAGGACAAGAGGCGCCACGAGACGCACCGGCGCCCCAGCCCGCAGAGGAGCGCCGCCAACGACATCGCGCACATCCAGAACGAGGAGATCATGTCCCTGCAGATGAAGCAGCTGGAGCACGACCACGACTGCGAGTCGCTGCAGGCGCACGACACGCTCAGGCTCACCTGCCCGCCCGACTACACGCTCACGCTCCGCCGCTCTCCCGACGACATCCCGCTCATGACCCCCAACACCATCACCATGATCCCCAACACGCTCACGGGCATGCAGCCGCTGCACACGTTCAACACCTTCAGCGGGGGCCAGAACAGCACAAACATCCCACACGGACACTCCACCACCAGGGTATAGCTCTGCAGACCTCCCGTCCCCTTCCCCGCCCTCTCGCCACGCCCCCTGCAACTGGAAGACCGACAAAGACGCACCATCTCCAGACAAGGAATGTGTTTCATCCCACTGGCTTAAGACACGCTCACACACACGCGCACACACACAGACCCCAAAAGGGCGACCATTGTGTCTTTGCAGACGTCCCATGCTGGCATTTCCCGGTACCACGAGATCAACTTGCAACCCTATGAAATGTGAAACGTGTCCATTCGCTGGTGACAGTTCTGCTTTGAAGACCCACCACCATCCAAGCTAGCGCGACAAGGACGTCAACATTTCGAGGACCTGGGCGTTTCCACCCGTGACCGTAGAAGCTGACACCCTCTGGAACTCAGCCAGGGACACCGATTTTTTTTTTTTTTTTTAATCACAGTTGAAAAAAATAATAATAATAAAGTTCTTTACGTGCCACACGACAGATGGCTCTCCTTAAGTGAAAAACAAACAGAAACAACAACAACAAAAAAGAGTCTATGGGCTTTTACCCAGCATACGGAGCAGTAATCCAGTAAAGAAGGAAAAGTAGAATTTTATTATTAAAATAAACGAACAGACTATGCAGTTACATACCTAGAGTTCTGTGCAAAGAGATGTTTTGCCAGCCTGAACTATATTTAAGAAACTTTGTAAAAAAAGAAAAAAAAAAAGAAAGAAAATGTATATAGCTGTGAGTTTTAAACAAACACACACGGAGAGAAAAAGAAAACAAAACAAAAAAACAAAAAGCAAAAAAAAAGCGCTTTTATTGGTGTTTTCAGTTTGAAAGAGCTTTTAGCAAGGTTGTACTCTCCATTGTGATCTGTATGTATATAAATCGGTATATACATTAGTCATATCACCTCTGTTCCCTCCAAGACACACAGGGGGGCTTCTTCTTCTTTAATCCTTGTGGCCAACAGACATGGGGTTTTCTAAGGCGTTTCATTTGTAGGAGGATATGGTTGTCACACGGCGGACTCTGACCGTCCCTGTGACCGGGCTTTCTCCCCATTTTTTTTTTTGTTTGTTTGTTTGTTTGTTTTTAGGGCTGGAAAGTGCATGCGATGGCATTCTTAGGAGACTGATTTTTTTTTTCTTTGTTTAAGGCAAACTTTCATTTTTGTGTTGTTAAAGGCTTCATGACGTTGCACCCTGCCCACCCCTGAAGAAGGATCCCCAGCGCGGAGTCTATTTAAAAGCTTGTTGAATTGCAAACAGTCACAGGCAGAGAAATCGCAGGGGCCCGGGAGGGGAGGGAGTCGGAACAGAACGCAATTCTCAGTTCTGTAGTCGTGGCTCTTTGAATCTGTTAAGCAAGAGTCGCTTCCCACACCCAGGGTCCTGCCAAAAGGGAGAAAGAAAGCTTGTGTTTGGTGGGCCTGAGGTCTGCTGAGTCAATAGAACTCTGTGTTCCCCAGCAGCTGCAGAAATACCTGTTCAGCTTAGCTAATCAGATCGAAGGAGGGGGCATGTGTCTTTCCTTTCTGGTAAGGTCCCTTATTTATCCGTAAGCGGGTTTTTTGTTGTTGTTGTTGCTGTTGTTGTTTAATTCTTTCTATCATTTATGGGGTAAGACATACGCTTGTCTGAAACGATTATCTTTTGTGCATTTTGTGTATCCGTCCCTGATCCGTGACTATCACAGAAAGGAAACCGGGGAAGGGCCAGAAAACTGCAAGTGCTTTGTGTGGGGTTTTCCAGGAAGCTACAGAATGGCTTGACTGTCAAGATAACACACGGAAATATTCAGCCGTTCTTCACTGGGGAGGTGGGGATGAGAATCTTGGCGCCTCTGACACCATGTCATTTTTCTCATCGTCCTTTTAGCTTTCCTTAAGGGATATCTTGCAGGTGTTGTCAAGGGAAACGGTAGCAACCACGGTGACTTGATGTTTTGGCTTTCAAAAACGTATTGCCGCGCCAGGAAATAGTAGCCAAAGATGATGTCTTGGGGCGTGGTTATCAGAGCAACTCGGCTAAGGTGCACATTCGCAAGAAAGACAGTCCAAATTCTTTGTCCCTCGGTGCAATCTTTGATTACTGGAACCCCTAGACCAAAACTGTAGCAGTATGTTTTCAAAGTCTTGGAAAATGCCCGCCCCTCCCCAACCGCCGGAAAAACAGAGTTCTTAGGAAGTCAGTGCAGACCAGTCTCCCAGTAAATTCTGCTGTTCACCTTGGTTCAGATTTTAAGAGTGAGCCTGTGTATAGACGTATGTGAAATGTAATCCCAACTTTGCACAGAGTGAGGTTCACACTCCTGCAGCTAAGAGGTGTCATGGGTAAGGTTTTTGTTCATCCTGTTTTAAAGCTCCTGTCAGACCATTTCTGCAAGCTATGTACTTACGACCCCAGCTAAGCGATGACAAATAGGCTGTCCAGAAAACGACAGAGGAAGTGGCATTCGACAGCTGTGTGGGACCGGTATGTTTGTAATGTGAATTCCAGTATTTGTTTAGTATTTCCAATCGTCTTCTGCTAGCAATATGCACAGTAATGTATCAGGCTTGTGACATTTGGATAAGGAAAAAGAAAAAAAAGTTCTTGTTAAGTGAATAACTTTAGCTTTTACAAAGGGTCATGATCAAAAGCAATTTAATACACCTTAAATGATATCTTATTTCTACATGGAAAGAAGTTATAGAATCTTCATAGAGTTCTATGAAAATAAAATATACTTGCTATCTATAAAAAAGAGAAAAATGAGAAAAAAAAATAAGTTAAAAAAAACTTTCCTAGGCTTTTATTCTTGAACTTCACTGGCACGCAGGGTTTAATGGTTTCTCGGATTATTATTTTGCGATTTTGTTTTTGATTTTGCCTTAAGTAATGATAGAAGATATATATGGCTGGACACATATGTATAAACTTTTCAGCAGCATTTTTAATAATAAAATATCACAGTATTTTCTAATGCTTTGTGCAAATAATTACGCGTCCATTCTTTTTTTGGAGGTGGCCTGTCGCGTTTATTTTCCCTGCTTCAGACGTCTTTCTTGCTTTCAGAGCTAAGTGATACATTTGGTGTAGATGATCCTTGGTAAACTCAGTCGAATATGGACCGCTTTCTTGTGCTTTGTCCTGGGCAACAAGTTTTGTGTCCCCAACAGGGACAGTTCTCCTGGCCTGACGCTGAACACGGGTGCTCCGAACGGTGGAATTGGTAACGAGAGGGTGCTTGTGTTTGCTACTTTGACCTCAGCTTCTTGTTTTGCTGGGTTTTCTTTGCTGTCAAGTCTTAAAACTTTCCAACAAAAAGCCTCCTTTGGGTATATGTCCGACAGCAAGAAGTTTATTTGAATACAACTCGGGAGGTGAAAGATTACTGACATACACTCAGAGCAAATTTGTCCAGGCTTCCCATGCACCAGGCCTTCCCAGGTGGTTCAGACGGTAAAGAATCTGCCTGTATTTCAGAAGACCTGGGTTCGATCCCTGGGTCAGGAAGATCCTCTGGAGAAGGGAACGGCAACCCACTCCAATATTCCTGCCTGGAGTCGGACATGATTAAATGACTAACACACTCTGCCTTGCACCTGGCCGTTGTTTATCTTAACAACTTACTGAGCGGAGACGTATTAACACATCTTTGTTACTTGAAAGCTATTGACCAGAGACATTTCGGTATTCACTTACATAACAAATCGCCAGCCACAAGCATTAGTTTCTGCACAAACCACCCCCAGTCAATGATGTGTTAACATCCTCAAGAGTCCTAAGGGGACAGGGGCCTAGAGTATTTCTGTTTTAAAACTAGACGTATTGAGAATCAGGAAGGTCAAGCAACGAGGAAGCAGCAAAGTTTAGATTCCAAGGAAGATGGTGTGTTCACAGTCCAGGCTCTTCACCAGCAAAGGAATGCAGCTTGGACTTTTAACTCAAGTTCATGGATGTCGTGATGACATGAGCTAATTATCAGAGAAAGGAAGGCACCAAAGACTGTGACTGCTGTATTCGAACTCTGAAGTTTTTTTTACATGTTGGCCTCGGGTTATTTGCCAAAGGAGAGGTGCACAGGACTTATATAACATATGTGCATGCTAAGTCATGTCTGATTCTTTGTGACCCCGTGGACTGTAGCTCGCCAGGCTCCTCTGTCCACGGGCTTCTCCAGGCGAGAATACCGGAGTGGTGCCCTCCTGCAGGGGATCTTCCAGACCCAGCAACTGAACCCAGATCTCCTGCAGTGCAGGCAGATTCTTTACCACCTGAGCCACCAGGGAAACTCTTAAAAAAAAGAAGAAAAATCCTTAAAAAAAAAGAAGAAGAAGAAAAAGATCACTATCTTGTCTCTGTACCTTGAGAAAACTGATAGCTTTACACTTTAAAAATGCTTTTCATGTAGTCATAACCTTCACCCTGGTGCACACACCGTGGGTGCCTTGCGTGTGCGTATCGAATTTTGTAGAATGTCGGTTGATCTGAAAACACAATTTTTTATCGCTTTTCCCTGCTGTTTTATGCACAATTTGGAGGCTCGTTTGGGGTCGTTAAACTTTCAAAATCTCACTTTTGCTGAAATGGCATTTTAAAATGCCGGCCATCCCTGCCTTTTGCCAGAACGAGTGAAGATAGAACATGAAATTTGGTGTAAGAAGTTTGCAGGGTCTAAGGAGACACACGAGGAAACTTTGCAAATAATTTATAACATACAACGCGAAGCTGTGTGCCTGCTACATGTTTGCCAGACTCCTTCTAAGAGCATCTTTGGAAAGGTGTAACATTTGAATGACATGAAGGCAGAGAGATGCCCTGTTCACAGCCAAAGACGCTCCTATAGCCTCCACCTACCTGTGAGGCCTCAGTCAGTGCTTTGTGGAGTATGTGTTATAATAATCCCGTGAGTATGTATTATGATAACCCCGTGAACCCAGGTACACTGGAGTCATTCTAATGGGATTGTAGGAGGAACACCATTTCCCCAGACTTTGTCGTTGTTATTGAGTTACTCAGTCATGTCCGACTCTTTGCGACCCCGTGGA